TTAAGGATACAATATCGTTTAATAAAACATAAACAAAAGCAAGCTTGAATATCAACATACAGTTTAAATAAATGAACACAATTAATCACGGCACAAAACGGTTAACGATTTATTGCTTAAATTAAGTAAATTATGTTAATTTATTAATATTTATTTTAAAAGACTTTCTTATAATGTTTATTTGAACGTGTCCGTGTGGTGACGGATTAAGAATACAGAGTGTCACCACCCCTATTCATCCCGTGGGTGTCGTAAAAGGCGACTAAGGAAGCAAACTACGTAGGACAACAGCACTGCAGAGAGAAGGAAAACTTGAAACTAACCCTATACCAACCCGTCTGGCCAGCGTGGTATAGTAGGCCAAAACCTCCTTTCTATTACGTCACCAACTCTATTCATCCCGTAGGTGTCGTAAGATCAAACTAAGGGAGCAAACTACGCAGGACAACAGCACTACAAAGAGAAGTAAAAATTGCAACAAACTCAATACGACAACCCTATGCCCATTTTTTTTTTACCCTAGAAAGGAAGTCCCTGGTGCAACAACCCTATGCCCTAGAGGCTGTTGATGGTGATAATGATGATTAGAATGGAGTGCTGGTTCTCTTTTGTTCGTAGGAATAAGGTTTTTTAATATCGTATAGTGCGTCTAACCTCCTAAGGCTAGTCTTAAGGCTATAGAATAAAATGGCAATCATTTCTACGACCTGTAAATACGAAAATTTCAATTTTACTAAAAATTCACTGAGCGAGATTTGAACTAAAGGCTAAGCTGGTTTGATTTCCAAAATCAGTACCAGACTAATCACCGTTATCTAATCTATAAGGATTTCCTATTTCCTTTAAACATTAAAATAACAATTAAAACTAGGTTTATTGAGGTGATTTATTACTTGAGTTTTTCAAATGAGCTGTAGTGCTAAAAAAAACAAAACAATAAAATGTATTTTTAAAAATTAAAATCACTTAAAATCTAGCGACACGTGCCAGTGTACAGCTAGGTAGATATAAATTGTTTCATTATTAATCAAACTGACATTAGACCCAAAGAGTGCCATAATTTAATAAAATTTCATTTCATCATCATCATCATCAACAGCCTATACTAGTCCACTGCTGGACATAGGCCTCTCCTTAGAAAGGAGGTTTTGGCCTACTATACCACGCTGGCCAGACGGGTTGGTATAGGGTTTGTTTGCAGGGGGGGTCGATAGTGGACCTCTCGTTCGCTACCCCTGCCCTCGCCGCACGAGTAAGGAACTGGCGTGTCCTGGAAGAGGTTGAGACGCTCTCGGATCACCTGTATATCCGATTTGAGCTCTCCCGGACCCAGGACTCCAGTAGGGGTCACGTGGCGCGGCGTTTATCCCGCTTTCCGCGGTGGGCTGTTGCCAGGCTGAACCGGGACCTACTAGAGGAGGCAGCCATAATTCACTCGTGGCTGTCTCCTCAGGCTCCGACCGAGGAGGTCGACGTGGGGGCTGGCCGCTTTCGCGATGCGATTACGCATGTATGCGATGCGGCCATGCCCCGCGTTCGAGGTCGTCGGCCTCCAAGGAAGGAGGTCTACTGGTGGTCCCAGGAGCTGGCGGACCTCCGTGCGGCCTGTACACGTGCCCGGAGGTCCTACACGCGCAGTCGGCGGCGTCACCGTGGAGACGGTGAGGAGGACCGGCTTCATGAGGAGTACCGACGGGCGCGGAAAACTCTGAAGCTGGCCATTAGCCGCGCCAAAGAAGAAAAAAGACAGGAGATGCTGGAGGGTCTTAATCGTGACCCCTGGGGTCGCCCTTACCGCGCGGTGCGACAAAAGCTCCGCGCGTCGGGCCCCCCCCTTACGGAGACTCTCCAGCCCAGCTTCCTGCGAGAAGTGGTTGAGGGCCTTTTCCCACAACGAGCGGAACACACTCCCCCGTCGATGGCCTCCCTGGCCGGAGACGACGGGGAGCACGGGGAGGACAATGTTCCGCCCGTCCGGGATTCGGAGGTAGGGGCGGCTGTTCTACGGATTCGTTCCAAGAACACCGCCCCTGGGCCAGACGGGGTACCGGCCCGAGTGCTGGCCCTGGCCCTCAACCACATGGCAGACCGCCTCGGGGAGGTGTTCGACGCTAGCTTGGCGTCGGGACGCTTCCCTGAGTGCTGGAAGAGCGGGAAGCTGGTCCTATTGAGGAAGCCGGGACGGCCTGCCGATTCGGTCGCGGCCTATAGGCCCATCGTGCTGCTGGACGAGGCGGGCAAATTGTTTGAGAGGGTTCTTTCTGCCCGCATCGTCCGGCACCTCTGCGAGGTGGGCCCCGATCTGTCGGACGCCCAATTTGGTTTTCGGGCGGGGCGTTCGACAGTCGACGCCGTGTTGCGCCTGAGGGCCGTGACCGAAGAGGCCGTGAGCTGTGGCGGCGTGCTGTTGGCGGTGTCATTGGACATCGCCAACGCATTCAATAGTCTGCCATTCAGCTGCATCAGGGAAGCACTCCACTATCATGGGGTGCCAAAGTACCTGAGGCGGCTGGTGGCAGACTATTTAGAGGAGCGTACCGTCGTGTACGAGGACCGAGAAGGTAATTTGAGGTGTCGGCCCATGTCGTGCGGTGTTCCACAGGGGTCTGTTCTTGGACCCCTCTTGTGGAACATAGGGTACGACTGGGCCCTTCGCGCCGATTTCCCCCCCGGGCTGGGTGTAATCTGTTACGCAGACGATACCCTCGTGACAGCCCGGGGGGCAAACTTCCAAGAGGCGGCGCGCCTGGCCACAGGGGGAGTCTCCCTGGTGGTCGGGCGCATTGAGGCGCTGGGCTTACGGGTGGCCCTAGATAAGACGGAGGCCCTGTTATTCCATGGGCCCCGTCGTGGTCCACCCCCTGGCGCCTCAATCGTGGTCAACTCGGTCCTCGTACCGGTTCGGGCCCAGATGAAATATCTGGGCCTGATCCTCGACGGGAGGTGGCTCTTCGACGAGCACTTCCGACAGCTTGCTCCAAAGCTGGTCGGCGCTGCGTCTGCCCTAGGGCGACTCTTGCCCAATCTGGGTGGACCCAGCGTCGCGACAAGACGGCTGTACACGGGGGTTGTCCGGTCAATGGCGCTGTACGGTGCACCGGTGTGGGCGGCGGCTCTGACCGCCCAGAATAGGGTACGCCTCTGGCGTCCTCAGAGGGTAATGGCGGTCAGAGCCATACGCGGTTACCGCACCGTTTCTACGGAGGTGGCATGCGCGTTGGCCGGAACTCCCCCGTGGGATTTGGAGGCGGAAGTGCTCGCCGAAGTTTATCGGCGAGTGGCTGACTCCCGGGCGGAGAGCGGATTTCGCCCTCCGCCCGAGGATGTGCGCGAGTGGCGCGAAGCCGCTCGCCGAGCCACGATGGCTCGTTGGTCGTTCCGGCTGGAGACTCCACGCGCTGGCTTCGCCGCCGTGGAGGCTCTCCAGCCGGTCATCGCCGAGTGGGCAGGGCGGCAGCACGGGACCCTTTCCTTCCGACTGACGCAGGTGCTTTCCGGGCACGGTTGCTTCGGAAAGTACCTGCACACGGTCGCTAGGAGGGAACTGAGTCCCGCCTGCCACCACTGCGACTGCAGTGAGGACTCGGCCCAGCACACGCTGGCGGTCTGCCCCGCATGGGCGGCGCAGCGCCGGGCCCTCACTGCAGTCATCGGAGTGGATCTCTCGCTACCGGCCGTAGTACGCTCCATGGCCGGTAGCGACAGTTGTTTTACCGCGGTCGCAACCTTCTGCGAGGTAGTAATCTCGCGGAAGGAGGCGGCGGAAAGGGCCCGGGAGGACGACCTCCACTCGGACCCGATCCGCCGCCGGCGAACCGGGCGGCGGAGGCCCGCCTACCACAGCCTCATGCCGCCCTGAGTGTGGCCGCGGGTGGACGGGGTGGGTTTCCCCTCCACCCGCATTAGTTGGCCAGCCGCGAGGGGGCGGCGTCCGCGTGTGCCGGACGTCGCCTAAAGAGAGGAACATCCACATTGAGACGGAGCCCGCACCAGGAGCGGGCTGGCGCTAGGAGGGGTCCGGATGTCTTAACAACAGCTGTTCCCGGATCCCTCCTGTTACAGGCGCAGAGTGGCACACCGTGTGGTTTTAGTCGGTCCGAGTCCGACACACCACCCCGCCGCAAACCCCGGAGGGGTGACGGTCCGAGGGGATTTCCACACGTTAAAAAAAAAAAAAAAAAAAGGGTTTGTTTCAAGTTTTCCTTCTCTTTTGCAGTGCTGTTGTAATTTCATTTACGTTAACATAAAAGTAAACATTACAGCTGAATCAACAATACAATGTAGTCTTCAATTTATTTGTGTGAAAACAGGTCCATTTTCTTATCTATTACATATTTATAAAATGTTACGTTGGTATGTACACGCTTTAGAAACACAAACAGTTCTGCACTGATTGAGCTAAAATGTTGACACGATGTAATTACCTACAACCTGCTTAAAAGATGTTTTTTATTTACTTTTGCGTAAATTTTGTTCCACATTAAGCATTAATGCAATTACAATGTGCCACGGCGAAGCCTGGTAGGGTACAGATATTCAAATATATAATGGACGTATATTCTAACACATTGGACATTTTTGTTTACCTAGATTGGTATGTTATTTGAAGGCAAAGGGCCAAATCCATACTCTATACAAATAAATAAAATTGGAGTGTTGGTTTGTAATATTAAAATAACCGCTTTTTTACTAAATGCATATGTATGTTTACACGGTACATATGCCAAAATAACATTTTTTAATATTTTTGGTCTGTCTGTTTGTTCCGGGTAATCTCTGGAACGGCTAGACCGATTTCGACGAGACTTTCACTGGAAGATAGCTGATGACATAAGGAGTTACTTAGGCTAATTTTTTTTAGACTAGCTTCGCCCCGCGTCGTTGCCCGCGGTTATAACAACAAACGCGGATAACACTGCGGGTCTCAGCTAGTTTTAAATATGTATCAATGTACATGTATGTAATGTGTAATATCCAAGGTCTCTTTTCTCCAGTCCATCATGGTACCACGTCCATTGACGCCAGGCCCCACGGAGGCACTACTGCCGACCTTCTACGCTGGTAGAGATATCTTCATCACCGGAGGCACAGGCTTCATGGGCAAGGTGAGGAATATGTTACCTCTTTTATTAAGAATCCATGAGATTACAGTACTTACTTGTTTTCGTTAATTGCTGAAAAAAAAAAGTAATTAGTAGTTTATTTATAAGCAATTAAGTATTGTATTGAGTCCATGTAGTGAAGAATTGAGACTATGGAATGTCATCACCCCTAATCACCACTAATATTGTGTGATGAGCACGTTCATTTGTTCTGTGTCTGGGTGTAATTTATCTATAATATGTATGTATTTAGAAATATAAAAGTATGTTTATCAGTAGTCAGTTTACCATAGCACAGGCTATGCCTAGTTTGGGATCAGGCGGCCGTGTTTGAGATTTGTGAGGTATACATTATATTATTATTATTGATAATCATCCCGTGGATGTCGTAAGAGGAGAAAACTACACAGCACTGCAGAGAGAAGGAAAACTTGACACAAACTCTATACCAACCTGTCGGGCCAGCGTGGTATAGTAGGCCAAAAAATCCTTTCTAAGGAGAGGCTTATGTCCAGCAGTGGACTATTAAATACTGTTGATGATGATGATAAGTATTGAATATTATGGTTATTATTATTATTAATGGATCGACGAGGTGTAGTTTTGCACCTATTAAGAGTCGGTAGTTTATAACTATCTTTTGTTATCGTATAACTTATTTAAAACAGATTTGATAAAGTTCGGTAGATTTCGTTATGTCTATATGTACTATGGTACTGGTTACCATACTTGCTGCTGATAAACATACTTATATATTTCTAAATATATCCATATTATGGATAAATTACACTCAGACGCAGAACAAATAATCGTGGTCATCACACAATTATTTGTCTTGGGGGAATCGAACCCACGACCTCTGGCATAGCATTTAGGATCACTAACCACTAATCCAACAGGTAAAAATGAAAGTAAGTACTTATTTTACTTGGATGTCTGCTCCAGGTGTTGTTAGAACGTCTGTTATCAACGTGTCCCGAGGTGGGGCGGATCCACCTGCTGATGAGAGACAAGAAAGGACAACCACCTAACAAGAGACTGGTCCAACTCAAGCAGTCCCAGGTTTGTATAAAGTTTTACAGAAATATGTAAATACTAACTTATGCACGCGGCTCCGGCCGCGTGTTTGTCGGCCATTGCGATAAAAAGTAGCCTATGTTACTCGCTGATAATGTAGCTTTCCATTGGTAAAAGTATTTTTAAAATTGGTACCGCGTTTTACGCGTGAAAGCGTAACAAACAAACCAACAAACTCAATTTCACATTTAAAATATACATTTATTAATGAGTACAACGTGACATAGTTATACATACATAATAATATACATAAATACATATTCATACACTCACATAGTACCTAAACATTCTTATAAATATACATATGCACATACATTCTGCATATATCATGGAGAGTGCTCCGAGGAATTGTTCGGGCTAATACCAGCCGCAACTTTCCGCCATCGTTCCACACGGCAATATTTTCATCCTCATCACCTGGATAGTTGGCGCTCCACTACTGTGCGCTTTTTTTCCCGTACAACCAATCTGTGGAACGGATTATCGTCTGCGGTATTGCCGGACCGATACGACCTTCAAACCTTCAAGAAAAGAGCGTATTCCCTCCTAAAGAGCCGGCAATGCGTTTGTGACTCCTGAGTTGCACACGTTTATGGGCGCCGATAGTCACTTTCCATCAGGTGACCCGTCTGCTCGTCTGACCCCTTTAACATAAAAAAACATACACACACATATCACACATAGTTCTTACAGAAATAAATAATGATCCTTGACGAGTTTCATGGGACAAAATCACAGTGAACTGTAAAACACCAGTGAATTATCATTCGATTTTTTCGTATGTAGGTTAGGGTTACTACTACTCACGTGTTGTTGCCAATAAACTATTTCAGACGATGCATAAAGACTCTATTTCGCCTATTTAACAGTAAATCTAGTAATTATGTATACTAATATTATAAAGCTGAAGAGTTTGTTTGTTTGTTTGAACGCGCTAATCTCAGGAACTACTGGCCCGATTTGAAAAATTCTTTCAGTGTTAGATAGCCCATTTATCGAGGAAGGCTATAGGCTATATATCATCACGCTAAGACCAATAGGAGCGGAGCACCAATGAAGAATGTTTCAAAAACGGAGAAAATTTATTACTATTGAGAGACGCAGACGAAGTTGCGCGGGTCAGCTAGTAGGTATATTATAACAATGGACTGACGCTACCATTCATTACATAATAATAAAAAATATACTAAATTTACTGTTAAATAGCATCTAACCTACCTATCTAGCAACCCTAACCTACGTACGCAAAAATCGAATGATAAATTACAGTTCACTGTGGTTTTCTACCATGTTTAGTGCCCGCCTTATAGCTTCTGGTAAGGAATTCCATGGCGTGCTGCTTGTGCTTGTGTTAAAGAAGTATCAGTGTGTGTTGGGATTTCTAGTGTCAGATTTTCCGACGATCACAAGTATCGTGTACGAGTAAGTATATGGAGATTTTAAATAGAATCAAGTATTTCCGCATAAAAAATAATAATAATAGCTTCACACATCTCACACAAATGGTTGGTGGTTCCAAACTAGGTAGAGCCTGTACTATGGTAACCAGACTACTGATAAACATATTAATATATTTCTAAATACATACATATTATAGAAACTACTACAAACTACTCCCAAACACAGCACCTACTAACCCGCTTTTCACTCAACTACCCCTACTACCTCCTACTAACTACTCCTACCCCTCATAAATGATGGGATCTCAAAGTCATTCTCAGGAGTTTGTAGTCCCCATCTAGTATGATCGTTTCTCTACTATCCTATAAAATAATTATAAAAATCACACAAAACCAATTTACACTTCGAGACGCGTGATGCATAGAATTCAGAATTCTTCCGACCTGATACTACTTCTTACGGAAACCTTCATCTCAGCAGAATTAAGCAGAACCTAAAGATTAATCTCATTCATCACCAGGTCTTCGATAACGTGAGAGCTAACAATCCTCGCCAGCTGGAAAAACTGGTGGTGGTGTGTGGGGATGTGTCGCAGCCCCAACTAGGACTGGACAATGAAGCCATAACTGCACTCAGGGAGGTAAGTCATATGCACGATTTGGCATGGAGAGTCTAGAGCTTAAAATCTTCCGTGTGGTGACGGATTAAGAATACGGTGTGTCACCACCCCTATCCATCCCGTGGGTGTCGTAACAGCCGACTAAGGGAGAGAACTACGCAGGACAACAACACTACAAAGAGAAGGAAAACTTGCAACAAACCCTATACGACAACCCTATACCCTAGAAGCTGTGGATGGTGACGATGATGATTGAAATGGAGGTTCTTTAATATCGTATAGTGCGTCTAACCTCCTAATTGTAGTCTTAAGGCTGTGGAACAAAACAATAACAACTAAACCTTATACCAATCCGTCTGGCCAGCGTGGTATAGTAGGCCAAAACCGATTATGATGATGATATTTTGATAGTCCAATTTAATAAACTCCTGCGAATGAACTTACCACCAGGTGTCTGTGGTGTTCCACTCGGCTGCCACACTCAAGTTTGACGAACCTCTTCCAGTGGCGGTGGAGCACAACGTCAGGTCTGTGGAGAGGATAATGGAAGTATGTGACAAGCTGCCTAATATTCAGGTAAGTGGCTGGTTGAAAGAAAAAAGTAAAGAAGTCGCAATAAAGATGTAGACGATACCGTGATAATTCGTCTGCAATTAGAAAGGTCTCTAAGACAGAGCCACTAGCCTGATGATGATGATTATTTTAAGTACGTAGTGGTTTGAGCGCTCACTTCGCTGCTTCCTACTGCGCTGACTGCGCTGAATGTTTTGGGTTCAATCCCCACATGCGACAGCACTTTGTGTGATCCACAACAATGTTCCGAGTCTGGATGTTCTTTGTGTCCATTTGATAAATGTCTGTCTCTAAAGTCTCAAGTCAGGCTATATTCTTAGTGCGAGAGTTGTCTTTAAAAAGAGAAAAGTGTGACCAAAAAATAGTTGTGACTTGGCAAAACATGTTGATGCAGGTATTAGTGCCGGCGAGTTCAAAATTAAATGGATAGCTATTCTCAAAATGTAACACCGTTGTATACCTTTGATCATCAAAGAAATAAATTATTAATTATCCCAAAAAAAAACTAAAACGCAAGTGACAGTAATCGGAAGCTCCAGACTTATCGCAAAAGTTGATTGGCTTAATTTCACCACCACAAGTATCTTCTGAAGGCATAACAATACCAATTAGTAACTACGTCAAAAATTTAGGGGTATACTTCGAGGGGGTCTGTAGATGGCCCGAGGAATGTCGGGGCACCAGGGACTTCCTTTCTAGGGTATACCTGGTTCCGAGCTATTAGTACGAGACGGCGTGCGGTTTTAGTCGGTTCGAGTCCGACATGCCACCGATAGGTGGTATCCGAGGGGATTTCCGCACGGAAAAAAAAGGGGTATACGTCGATGAAACAATCCCATGGAATGCTCAAAAACAAAATGTCAACCGTAAAATGTTTGCTCATATGTTACATATTACCATACAGTATAGTCCATCCAAAGGTTGCCTGTAGGAGATCGCAGACTGCGATAAGGCCGCCCATTGTACCACTGTTTTTTTTTATTTTATGTTTATATTGCATTGTATGTTTTCTATCCATAGTGTTCAATAAAGAGTACCTATCTATCTATCTATCTAAAACTTCAAAGTCCCAAAATCTGCTTCTTGCTTGAGCCCAAGTCTTGCTGTTGTGTGCAGGCGTTCGTCCACGTGTCGACAGCGTACAGTAATGCTGATTTGTCGGTGGTGGAGGAGCGCGTGTACCCTCCTGCCAGGCCCCTGCGCCAGGTGTATGCACTGGTCGACTCGCTGCCGGAGGAACTGCTAGCTACCATCACTCCACAGTTTGTACTCATTTATGTATGATAGTGTGTAGGATTTTAATTATTGTGAAGTATTTGTGGGTGTAGCGCCACCTACCTCAAAACACTGATGATGCGAGACTATGTTAGATAGACGAGCGGACGGGTCACCTGATGGAAAGTGACCATCGCCGCCCATGAACGTCTGCAACTCAGGAGTCACAAACGCGTTTACATAAGGCATAATCCACACATGCCTATTAAATGTTTGTAGTAGCACAAGACACTGTATTTGAATGGGGTCAATAGGAAAGTTCTTCTTAATACTATGTAGCTATTCAACTAATTAATCTGAGGCCAGCGCCGTGGTCACGAAGCGAGTTTAGCGCCAAATTGAAAAACGACGGCCAGACGGATTTATGTAGTAAAAAAAAGTATGTACGAATTTATATCAGTTGTCTAGTACCAATAGTACAGGCTCTGCTTAGTTTGGGACTAGATGGCGTTGTGTGAATGTGGTAAAATATTATTTCACTCAACCACAGAAACCGAACTTAATGTGTTGTATACATTATACCTGACTGCGGGCAAAGGAGGTCATGTGATTAAACCGTAAATATGTCCGTTTTTATGTCCCGTCGGAAGTACTAAACTGCTATATAGATTTTGATATCTGATATGTCTTTGGGTAGAAAATTTAAGATTACATTTTTTCCTCCGAACTCCGGTATTATATTCTCTAATCTTATAAGCAATATTCCCTTCATATAATTGCCTTCCCTTCTTTCATTTCTTCTACTTGATAATAAATGTCACGTCAGTGCTCAGAATCAGATTTATATTCTGTTTTTTTTCATCATCATCATCATCATCATCAACAGCCTTTAATAGTCCACTGTTGGACATAGGCCTCTCCTTAGAAAGAAGGTTACAACAAGACAATAATAATAACCTTAAATCATTTCAGGTTCATATCTCCTAAACCCAACACATACACATTCACGAAATCTTTAGCTGAGAACGTGGTGCAGGAGCACGGCAACCGGGGGTATCCTGTCGCGATTTTCAGACCTACAGTCGGTAAGTGTCCTGCTTCTGTCCATCTCCTTAATTATTATTATCTCGTTAAAACTACAAAATTAATTTCTAGTAGATGATACTCATGGCCGTTTTGACCAACTATACTTAAATTATGTTCTCCCTAGGAGTTCCGTAACGTAGGTGACCCCTAAATACTAATCTTATCTAATTTCGTTTTTACAATGCTAAGTGAAACCTAACTAAGGGTCTCCTATTTTGTAGGGTTCATAAACCGTAAATTTGTGTAAGTGTTTTCCGATTGTATTTTTTTGCAATATAAAGTTATTAAAATGATTATTATTACTTAATAAGAAAAAAAAAAACATTTCCCACCACCACCCAAATGCCTTTGGCATTAAGTCCGTCATTGTACAATTAATTGTTATTTGCGTGAAAATAATTAAATAAAAAAAAAAGTCGGTTTGTATATGCCTCAAAAACTCAAAAAGTTCTACACCGATTGAGCTTAAATTTTAACACGATATACAGTTTTTTTTCTATTTCGTGTTAGTTATGTTTCTCAATCCCCGTCAATACAATTACAATGTGCCACAGCGAAAAGGCTGGGTAGGTACCGGTACAGTTAGTACACAAAAAAAGAATTTAAAAAGACACTCCCGCAGCTTAAACCACTACGCCATGTTGCCAACTTGGTTTTATTTCTACTAAATTAGGAAAAATTTAGTGGGACATCGTTTTTTTTTAAATTAAACATAAGGATCTTTATGATTTTGAGTTTCCATAGAAAAGTTTTATTATGAAATAACAACAGTAAGATTTATGTCAATAATTATTTTAAAGTTTAAAAACAAACAGACATTTTCTTCGATCCAAAAAAATGTTTTCTAATCCATCTCAATGTTCTTCGTGTTTAGTCGCACTTCGGACCGGTGGTTATTAAAACAATTTCTCGAACTTGTCACTCTATTCACAGAGAAATTATCTTATATGTAAACTGTAAACCACAAAAAATTTAATTGTTCTGTTCTTAATAATATTTTGTGAATGTTTTTTACTGTCATATTTGTTTCAGTGGTATCTTCTCTCCGCCACCCTTTCCCAGGATGGATAGAAAACCTGAACGGGCCGAGCGGGATGGTGGTGGCAGCTGGCAAGGGCCTGCTCCACGTCTTTGCAGTCAGATCGGCAGCGCGAACTGACTTGCTACCCGTCGACATAGCCATTGATACATTAATGGCTGTTGCTTGGGAAATAGCTATCGACAAGTAAGTGTTGCAAGGAACAGAAATCAGAGAGTCTCGATGTTCTTCTCGTAGACACTAGCTAGGGTCTCGGGGGATGACACTAGTGACTATTATAATACCGATTGGTAGGTTAACTTCACGACATCAACGGTCAGGCTGCGGTCCGCTATTCATAATCAGCTCGTCTGGTTGGAGGAGATCCCCTTGTGTGGAACTTAACACCCGTTCCTCAAAAACGAGTGTAGATTAAAGTGCTCTTTATTTTGCAGACCAGAGCAGGTTCGAGTTTACAACTGCAGCACCTGCGAAAACCCAACTACGTGGTCTGACTTCAAGTCTAGCGTGAGGAAGCATCTCCATAAAAATCCTCTGGACAAAGCCTTCTGGTACCCGTGCGGTTTCTGCGTTGAGAACAAGTCAGTTTCAACAATTTCGAAATTATTATTCGTAGGGTTCCATTATAACTAGAAAATAACACGGAAGAATAATGTTGGTTGGTCACATACATATGTGCACAAAACTAGATAAAATGCACATATTTATTCGTTATTATCTAGTTACTGTATAAATGTTACTAACACAGGCTAAATATCTCTCTCTCTCTCACTCTAGCCTGTTTCGACCTCTTGGGTGTAAGCTTCTTCCGTCACTCATAGCGATCTTCTGCGATCTGGAGTCACTTCTTTTCTGCCGACTTAGGAAGTAAACTACGCAGGACAACAGCATCGCAAAGAGAAGAAAAACTTGAAACAGTAGGACTTGTTTCAAGTTACCAACCTGTGTGGCCAGCGTTGAATAGTTGGCTAAAACTTATCAGCAGAGAGGCTTATCACTTATTTAGGCATTTGTCCAGCAGTGAACTATAAAAGGCTATTGATGTGCCCAGAATAATCGTTTGCGACTGATGATTTCATTCGATTAATTGTTCTCACTAGCAAATCTCCTGTCCCAAATACACGTACCTAGTATTTGTATTCTCTGGCTAACTTTGATGGCAATATATTTCGACTATATTCTATCCACCCGGCACCTTAATATATACTGTTTTATAAAATCTCATTTCATTTCGAATCGTTAAAAAACTGACTCAAAATCCAAACAGTTTAAATTGGTCATTTCTTTTTCAGGGTTGCACTAAAGACTCTGGAGATGATTTTGCAAACCATTCCCCTGCATATGGCAGAGTATATCTCGAAAATAATTGGAATTAAATCAAAGTAAGTTTATGATTAAAATTAAGCCTGCGTTGAATAAAACGATGTAAATAATAATACCATATTTACTCATTTCTGCTGTAATGGTAGTTTTTGTGTCCTATAAGCCGAACTTTTTATTTTACAGATTAAGTTTGATAAAAGTTAATCAACGTTTAAAATCTATGAATGAGGTATTGAGATTCTTTTCGACACGTGAATGGTACTTCCAGACAGATAATGTCCGGCATCTCAAAGAAAGACTATCGCCCCAAGATAGTGCTATCTATAACCTAGATCCACACTCAATAGTGTAAGTACTAGCAGAAAATATTTCTTTACTCAAACATTATGTTCTCCCTTCTTCCTTACACCTAAATTTTATCAACTATTTTTGTTTTTTTTTCACAATAATTGGCAAAATAAAATTAACTTCCCGTCTCACACACACGGCTATTTGCTCCTAAAATAAGCAGAGCCTGGACTTTGGTAACCAGACCTCTGAAAAACATAATTATATATATATTTCTAAATAGATATGACGGAGGATTTATGTCTGGGTCGTTTTTAAATAGAATAAACAGTGTCAAGAAGACTGACTGTCACCAAAAGCTCATGTCATTCTTGACACTGTCGTGGTTTTCCTTTATAAAAGCTGTAGTAAATAACAACAACAACAGTAAATACAATTAAAGATGTATTCCAATGTCTTACCAACAGTCGTACATAGATCCGTACAGTAGTAAATAAAGACAACAGTAAATACAGTCGTACATAGATCCAGACGCAGAGGTCTCGCAAGTGCAAACAAGCACAACAGATTCGCTGAAAACCAACTCTGGAGAGTTGGGCTGTGGCCGACCCACAATTATATCAGCACTGTTGTGCTTATTTGCCACTGCATTGGTGGGCGCACGTCACTGTGAACACACGGTTGGCATGGGCCGTGCAGTGAGAAACGATCTCGGAGGCATTCGGAAATCCTCGGAAGTCTTCGGGCGGTGCGGAGATGTTGCTTGGTCGACGTGCGGGCGAATCCGACCGAGTACGCGCAATACAGCTCGTTTTTATGTGACGCATTGTTCGCGCACGTGTTTACATGTTGTTAGGTTAAGTGTTTTATTTTCTTGTTCTGTTTGGATAATACGATTCTTGAGGTTATCAATTAACACTAACTATCAAAACTTCAATTACAATCTAATAGATACATAAATAATAATAATCAGAATAAGTGAAATGACAATAATACTTCAGCCTACAGGAAGGTTTTTTGTTTCGAAAAAGAATTAAAGTTCAAATATAATTAGACATGAAGGTTAATACGTGTGTTTTTTTTTAATAATTTTTTTACAGGTGGAATGAATTAATGGAAAATTTTGTAAAAGGCGCTAGAAAATATCTTCTACAAGAAAAAGATCAAGACATACAAGACGCTAAGAAACATTTGCAAAAGTAAGCTTTTTGGTTGACTAAAATAAGTACCAAATAATTATACTAGTCTCTCTTTGTTCTATCTATAGTGATATAAAAAGGCTGAAGAGTTTATTGACGTCCGCATGCTATGTGTCCCTGTCCTATGATGTCCGTCTGGTGACGTAATAAGAAAACGGAGTGTCAGCGTCTGTTCATCCCGTGGTTTTCGTACGAACCAACTAAGGGAGCAAATATGCAGTACAACAGCACTGCAAAGAGAAGGGAAACCTTCCTTCCAAGAGTTCTATGTCCAGCAGTGGAATATGGAAGGCTGTTGATGATGAAGAGTTTATTTGTTTGATTGAACACGCTAATTTCAGGAACTACTAATTCGATTTGATTTTTTTTGAGAGTCTATTTATCGAGAAAAGCAATAAGCCATATTATATGATGCTACGTCAATAAAAAATATTGCAAAAACGGGGAAAATTTATTCCTTTTGACAGACAGATGCGGATGGTCAGCTAGGTTATCCTACTTCTTAAGTGATTAATTTAATAAACTAACTGTGTTCTTTTTCAGAATGTTCTACGTACACTACGGAATGATTTTGTCCGTGATGACGCTAACCTTTCGATTTCTGCTCCAAAATGAATTTATAAAAACTTTCATCTGGCGAACATTCAAATCGTTATTATCACAATTTAATATAACTTATTCGAAGATCACAGAAATAAGCTAATTTTAAAAATAAGTAATTCATTTTGTAACGATATTTTCTAAAAGGATCAATATAAATATTATTTATTATACTAAATACATAGGTGTGTAATTTTATATTGTTGCCTTATATAAATGAAGAACTGGGTGAGACTTGATTAAAGTCAGGTCAGTTAGTACGAAGCATCAGAATCATTCAACTTGAAATGAATTAATATTTTTTAGTATAACATAGTCATCTAGGTCATTCAGCATCTGCTGTAGGTCCTGCAACGTCTCTGCGATGATGAAGATGTCGTCTGCAAATCGCAAGTGAGAGATGTATTCGCCATTGATATTGATGCCACGCCCTTTCCAGTGCAGCGTCTTAAACATGTCCTCCATTGCATTTGTGAACAATTTCGGGGAAGAACGTCCCCTTGTCTCACTCCTCGATGCAATGGTATGGGCCTTGTTCGCTGATTCTGCACTTGGACGGACATGGTAGCGGCTTCTTATAACATATTTGTGTGTCATAGAAACTAGTTCATTAAGAAAATAAGTGATTCGTTTTGTTAGGATATATTTTAAATGGTTCAATAAAAATATTTCTCTATTCTACTAGACACATAGTTGTGTTATTTTATATTGTTAGTCCCTGAAATGAAGAACTGGAATACACTAGACACTGATCAGGTCAGTTATTAAAAAGCATCAGAATCATCCCACTTTAAATGTATGTGGCTCACGCAATTAACCCGTTTTGCTCGATAGTTTTTATTTGAAATTGCTATCTCGATGCCAATTTACCAATTTTAGATCTGTTAATTATGTTAGGAGACACTAATCCATTTTTTTAGAAATGTTTTAAGTATTAAGTAAGTAAGGGAAACTAATGGTGAAATATTTAGTTCAAGGGAAAGTTAGTGAATAGTTAAAACTAGTATTAAAGTCTTTATTTAAATTTTGTACGAAATTGGTGGTATGTCTAACAAAAGGAGATGAATAAAGAATTATATTTCAGTGAATTATCTCCACGTTATGTTTATGGTTGTGATAAACTTTTCTTTTTATGATATTATAAATTGTGCCGAGATATTTAATAAGTGAAGTATTTTTGATATTAAATTAAATAATTTTGTAAAAATTTGTTTGATTGATGGATACCCTTATGCGTCTTTATAACCAAATTAGCATATTAAAGTATTTCATTTGTTCTGTGTCTTACCATATTGGTTTTGCAACTGGTCGTTACTTTGTTCCTTTATTACTGGGGTTGCGTATGTGTACAGAGAGAAATAATAAGTCTATGAACAACTTATTTAAATTTATTAATTACGACTGTATACAATATATATGGGTGTGCTGTAGTACGGTATACAAGACGACCACGGGACAACTGTCGTTCACAGCGCACTACAGTACCGATAACTCAAAACGTTGCGTCAGCATTCCCGCAACACTATTTCCCTCTTTTTTTTAAAAAAAAATATTTATATTTTTTTTTTACAACACAAAATCTTAATTCTAATCAGTATATTTATCAAACAATATTTCTTGTGAATTTATTTTGTCACCAAAGGTGACATCATCTTTCTGCTCAATCAACAGTTTGCAACTTAATATGAGTACTATGCTATGTATTGTTATGCGATAAGCCTGTGAATAAATTCCAACATTGTAATAGCGACAAAAGTTTTAACATTTATTATCACGCTATTTAAAATTTAGATATCAGCAGCGTACTTAAATATTAATTTACCATGACTTTAACACAATTATTTATTCTTATATTACGCATATAATATAATATGTTTGGGTTACATTTTGTTATCCTTTCTTGACATCGTTGTGGCCGGACACCAACAACACAAACCATGCAGCTTGTTCTATGACCGAATAGCAAAATATAACACACACTATTAAATCGTTACAAAATAATTTCAATCACATACACACTTAATAACATGAATGCACGAAGATTTCTCGTCAAATAATCAGTAAACCACTTTATGAGGTGCAGACGTTCCATTATTAATTTGCGGCGGTTGCATAGTTTCTACCTTAATATTTGGTAAGGTTATAGAACTAGCAACCATTTCTTTCTTCAACCATTTCCTGACGCCTTTAGCACATTTTCGTTTTAATGCATATCCAATCACTATAATCAGTAGTACTATAATAATTATCATAACGATACCAATCATATTCAACTTGTTATCTACTTGAGCTGTGCTGGATATATTTTCGTTAACAACAACTTTGTCCTTTGTCTGTAAGTTGCCCATTTCCTAATTAATCAACTACGACGTACAGGTATCAAACACTAAATGAATTTATAATACATTTTCTATTTCATATTAACACGTAATTATATAACCAAATGTCCTAGTTAAATTATTGTCTAATCAGCAAAATTAATTGTTACAAATACTTCGTTGGCTTTTTGCTGACTCGTCCTGTTCTCGTAGTATAACCAAAGCTACTGGGTTCGGCTGTTTGAAAAGTTACTTTTTTCTGAACTTTTTGACAGACAGTTTTACCACTATTATCTACTACTTCCGGTTGTACTTTATCCTCTGCTAACATAAATGCAGGTTTAAGACGGTCTATAGAAACTCTAAGTTGTCTGTCTGGCAATTGTACACAAAAAACTTTATCAGTTCTATTAATGACGCGATATGGTCCGTCGTAAGGAGGTTGTAACGGTTTCCTTACTGCGTCATTTCGAACAAAAACATAATCGCAAGTATACAAATCTTTATGCACAAAAATTTTACGTGATGATCTATTTTCTCTACTAGACGGTTTATATTCGTCAATAACTTCTTTTAACTTGCTAACGTAATCATTATCATCACACGATTTCACATAGCTTCCATCATAAAAATCACCAGGTAATCTAATATTATTACCATACAACATTTGTGCAGCGGTTACGCCTGTATCTAACCTAATTGTCGTGCGTAATCCTAACATTACAGTTGCCAGTTCATCTACCCAAGACTTATTGCTTAAACGAGCTGTAATTGCAGTTTTCAACGATCTATGCCAACGTTCTACTGTTCCATTGCACTGAGGATGATACGGGGTGGTTCTTGACTTTTTAATTCCCATTAATAACATTAGTTGTCTAAATAAGTTACTTTCAAATTGTCGACCTTGATCGCTTGTAAGTTTAACTGGACAACCAAAACGACTAATCCAACCCTCGTATAACGTCTTTGCGACTACTTCTGCAGTCATTTCCTTTATAGGAAAAGCTTCTGGCCAACGTGTAAATCTATCCACTATGGTTAAACAATACCTATATCCTTCAGTTGTGATTGGCAAAGGACCTATTAAATCTATATGTATATGCTCGAAACGTTTAGTAATCTCAAATTGTCCTAAATTAGATACTGTATGCTTCTGTATTTTCGCTCGTTGACAATTTATACATGTTTTGGCCCAATTACCGATGTCTCTATTCATATTTGGCCAAAAATATCTATCTGCTATTATTTTTCTACTAGCTCTAATGCCTGGATGGCTCAAGTTATGTATCGAATCAAAAGCTAAACGCCTAAATTGTTCCGGTAAATAAGGACGTATGTTATTAGTAGATGTTTCGCAAACAACATGCTTATTGGGTACATTTAAAGTTACACGCTTAAATATCAACTTACAGTTGTTATCCGATTCACTAAGAATTTTTGCAAGCTGTTCGTCGACTTCCTGCGCAACTGCCAGTTCTGCGAAGTCGATAATCGTGGGACTTGTTATTGTTTCAATTCTAGATAATGTGTCCGCTACAATATTATTTTGACCACTAATATGCCTTATATCAGAACTAAATTCACTGATAAACATGATTTGCCTGGCCCGCCTTGATGTTTCTCTATTTGTACCTGATTTCGTAAATGCAAAAGATAAAGGCTTATGATCAGTATAAATAATTAAATTTTGACCTTCAATTAAATAACGAAAATGAATTATGGCTAAATAAATTGCTAAAAGTTCTCTATCATACGTGCTATATTTCTTTTGCATTTCTGTTAACTTTTTAGAAAAATAACCTAAAGGTTTCCATTTGTCAGCAATTTTTTGTTGTAATACTGCACCTACGCAATTGTCTGACGCATCTGTCATTAATGAGAACGGTGTGTCTATAGATGGATAACCTAACAATGCAGCATTTTTAAGATCTTCCTTACATTGTTCAAAATTTTGTTCGGCCTCTATTGTCCAATTAATTTTACTTTTATCTTTACGTTTAGAAGAACTTAAATACTTATATAAATGTAATTGGTGGGCTGCCGAATGCGGTATGTGTGCTCTATAAAAATTTAACATACCCATAAATCTTCTTAGTTCCTCAATAGTGTTAGGTTTTGGAAAATCAATAATAGCTTTAACCTTATCCGTTAAAGGTATAATTCCTTCAGTTGTGACTTCGTAACCTAAAAAATCTAATTTTGTCTTTCCGAAACTACATTTAGCGAAATTAATTGTTATCCCATACTCGTTAAATCTTTCAAAAACTTTAAGTAAATGCTGTTTATGCTCGGTTTCATTATCTGAGGCAATTATTACGTCATCCAAATAATTAAATAAAAAATCTAAACCTTGTAAGACGGTGTGGTGCATAAAGCGCTGAAAAGTTTGCGCTGCATTACGCAATCCGAAAGGCATTCGCATAAATTCAAATAACCCAAAAGGTGTTATGACAGCCGTTTTCTCAATGTCATTTTTGGCTACGGGTATACAATTATATGCTCTATTTATATCTAACTTCGTAAATATTTTCTTATTCGACAAATTATACATAAAATCGTGAAGACGGGGAACTGGATAACGATCCGGTTTAGTAATCGAATTTAAACGTCTATAATCACCGCAAGGTCTAATATTTCCATCCTTCTTTGGCACGATATGTAAAGGACTTGCCCAAGCGCTATTACTCGGCCTACAAATCCCAAGCTCTTGCATAACTTTAAATTCATTTTTAGCTTTAACATACCTGTCTGGTGGTAGCTGCCTACTTTTCACGTGCACTGGTGGTCCTGTGGTCTCTATGTGATGACAAACGCCATGTTTAGGTGTCTCCTTATATGAAACAGGCATAGTTAACTCGGGAAACTTACATAATAAATCATAATAAGGGCAATTATCAACAATTGTCTTTACAGTGGACTCAGTTGAACTCGAAATGGTACCTCTAATGCTTAAATTAGTTAACTGATCGATTAATCTTCGTCCGTTCAAATCAATTAACAGCTTATGCTTAGCTAAGAAGTCAGCACCTAATATTGGTTGCTGTACGTCCGCTAATATAAATAACCAACGGAAAGCTCTTCTAAGGTTAAGATCTAATTCTAAACAATGCGTACCATATGTATTAATCTCGGTTCCATTCGCGGCATACAATTTATAACGTACATTATTTTTATTACCTTTAATATGTGCTATGCTGCGGGGTAGCACAGACACATTAGCACCGCTATCCACTAAGAAAGTTAAACCTGTTTTCCTGTCCATCACACAAAGACGGTTGTTAGAATCTACGCGGCCACAGCCTCCCGTCGTCGGCTGCACCGACGTTAGTTTTCCGACGGCTTGACATCTTTCTTCCAGTTGCACGGCTGGACGCACTTATTTGCCCGATTCTTGTATCGATAATGATAGTAACACAACCAATTGGGATCTTCAGGTGTCTTCCCACGCGTCCTTGATTCTGATGACGATCGCGATCTTGATCCGTAACGCCTTCTGTTACTTTTCTGCCAGTGCCTTCTTGATCTAGTTTCTAATTTTTCAAGTCTTTCGCTTATTTTATCAAGGTGGGCTATTACCAAATCGTCTTTATTCAAGGTCAGCGATTTTCCTTCCACCGCAGCGATACTGGGTATTGGCGTCGCGGTCTCCATTACCTTATCCGCGATAGTTGCTAATTTTTCTAAATCATCTTCATTTGTCACAGCCAATACTCCTCTGACTGATGGTGGTAGGTGATTTTGCCACATCACCACTAGTGTCTCGTTGGTGACTCTATTGCGAGCTAGGTCCTGCATTTTTCTCAATAACTGCGATGGTTTCTGGTCTCCTAACTCCATTTCGCCTATTAGTTTCTTTACTTGTCGTTCTTCCGACTCCTGGTAAATCAATATTAATTTTTGTTTCAAATTTTCATACTTATTTTTTTCTGGCGGATTTAATAAAATTTCTGTGATCTGCTCTATAACTTCTTGGCCTAATTTCGATATAACGACTTGATATTTCGCTTCATCAGACATCTTCTGCGGTTGTAGTACTGCTTCTACCTGAATAAACCAGGTTTTCGGCGACTTCTTCCAAAACTCAGGTATTCTTGCCGTGACGGAGATAGTGGATAAATGATACTCTTCGGTGGCTATTTTTCTTTCTTCGGTAGGCATGTTTAACGTAATCACGACTCGTATAAGTACCGATATTAAAAAACAACACTACAGCACAAGTGAGTTGCCCGTTCTAAACAGTCTCAATCTGTACACAATATCACAAAAGTTCTTTAAAATTACCAAATCACAGTTCAGTCGGGGTCACCACTTTTGTAACTGGTCGTTACTTTGTTCCTTTATTACTGGGGTTGCGTATGTGTACAGAGAGAAATAATAAGTCTATGAACAACTTATTTAAATTTATTAATTACGACTGTATACAATATATATGGGTGTGCTGTAGTACGGTATACAAGACGACCACGGGACAACTGTCGTTCACAGCGCACTACAGTACCGATAACTCAAAACGTTGCGTCAGCATTCCCGCAACATTGGTAAGACACAGAACAAATGATCATGTTCATCACTCAATTATTTTGGTTTCACTCAATTAATTAGTTGTTTGTGTCCGTTTTATAAATGTCTGTAAAGACCCTATGACACAGGATATATTCTTAGGGCGGGAGTTGTCTTCTATAAAATTATTTAACTTGATTAACGACAGCCCACTCCAAGAGGTTGATAACATTAGAGATTTAGATGTAATTTTAGATGTACTTGCTTCGGCAGTACACTAAAAATTAGAACGATACAGAGAAGAGTAGCATGGCCCCTGCGCAAGGATGACCCCCGGCCTGCCAGGCCCGGGAACGGGCCAGGCACCGCAGACGACTCAGAAGTTCATAAGTCTAGGCCTGGGCGCGACAGGTGAGGCCATCTCACACCCTAGCAGAAGCAGGCCAGGGTTAATGATGGAACTCGTGGATAATAGAGGTTCCCACACAGGAGAGCTACATCTATAAGCCGTAGATGGCCCGAGGTACGTCGGGGTACCAGGACTTTACTTTCTAGGGAAAATTTGTTCGTTCTAGGGAAAAGCGTTCGAGTCCGATATAACCACCCCACCGGTGGGTGGTATCTGAGTGGTATCCGCACAGGAAACAAGGAAAAAAATAATAATAAGTTGAATTTTAAAAGTCGTTAAGATTTTATAGCGAAATTGTCAGGTTTCCTAACCAGGGAAATGAAATCTTCAAAGAACCTAGCTTAACTATTCTCATTTACAACAACGTTATTACAAGTATCCTGGAATATAGCAGTACGGGGTGGAGTCCGGCTTATCAGGTACATTCCGATAGGAAAGAACGAGTTCAAAAAAGATTTTCTTCCTCCATTTTCAAAACCAGTTTTAATAATGGCTATGTAACGCACCTGCCCTGTTTTATATATATATATATTCTAAGTTGTTAGTTTAAGTTCTAAGATATGTCTTACTATTAATAAGCATGCAGGATTCACATCCAATGCATCAATCAGAATAGTACTGTATTCATGTTTGTTGTGCATTTGTGATTGTACATCAATTTTCTGAATTCAATTTAAAGTAAAGAGAATAGAGCGTACTACAACCTCGAAAGTCCAGTTGTGGAAAAAATAAATAAAATACATACTGGGCATTCTTGTCTCCTATCAGCTGATTAGTCTACTCATATTAGAAAAAAAGTATCGTTTTAAATATGATTATAGATTCATGATCATATTCTGACATAATACAAAGCGGTATTTTTATTCTCAAGATCTAAATATCTGCGTCACCATAAGATTCAATTTAAAACCACGAGATAAGTACTTATTGCTCGAATGTAACTGTATTAATTATATACTGAGTACCATTTTTAATTTGGAAACAAATATTCTTTTTTTTATTAAGAAAAAAAAACTGTGCTTGAGGTTTTGCAAATAAATTTAACATAACCCAGATCAAATTAACTAGGTTTAAAAACATGTTATTGTTTGCACTTAAATTAACATGTTTAGTGTCAGGTATTAACATGAAGAAAAAAGAATAAAGGAGAGCTACAGTGGTCTCCCATGATGTGTTATATCTGAAGGCAAACGATAGCAACGAGTGCACTTATTGACCAAATATAATAACACGCGTTTTTCCGGTTACCTGTTATTACACGCTTCCATCCCTCTCCTCGAAATCACTCCAACAAATTACAGGGAAATATGAACATAGAGGTTGCACATAAAAAAGGAATAATTAGTTTGCTTTATATTCCTATTGTTAAAATGTTTAAAATCTACCTTCACCATTTACAGGAAAGAAATCGAAAGGTACTCAAAATTAATTTGGTAGTAGAGTTTATTAATTATTACGTTGCAACATATTTCGAATGTCAACTTTTTCACAACACTTTTTTGACGTCTCAATCTCAACTCAAGAGTAAATGTCATTAGTGTCAATCCAGTGATTGCGTTTGAGTGGAATTTCGATGTGAAAAAATAATAAAACATGTTTAACAAAGTGCTGCAGCGTGCGCTAAAGTTCCGCATCAAGAAAAATTATCCCACAAATATTTATGATTTATCGAGGGGCTCGGCTATTGCTGTAAGGAGGCCGTATAGCGATGAAGTACGGCGCGCGCAGGCGCAGAGCGTCGCCGCACCGGGACCTACTATATTCGACAAAATAATGTCGAAAGAAATCAAAGCGGATATTATTTACGAAGATGAGTTATGTTTAGCATTCAATGATATATCGCCACAGGCTCCCGTGCATTTTCTCGTAATACCCAAAAGAAGGATTGCCAGGTTACAAGATGCGGAACCGACCGATATCGATGTAAGTATAATCCTACTAAATTGCGTATGTCAGTTGTCTAAGAAATTAGGCGGCAGTTTAAAAAAAGTTAAATTTTTTATTGTCATCTAGATCAAAGGCTATAGTATCATGTTACTTTTTAAGTATATTTTTTAAATATTTAGCATGAATGTTTATCAAGTAAGAACTTAGTTTAAAACAGATTATATATTTTATGATATTATGTTTCTAAAATGGTAATAATAATAACTTTACTGTGAGAATGAAACTGGGCATATGAAAATTTTTTTTTTTTATATATCCTGGTTTTCCTTGTAAAATCTGCGCAAAACATTTTACTCTACTACCTTCAAGAAAGGAGGGTACTCCTACCTCGTAGGTGGCATCACGCTTGTGATGTATGTGACATTACTACGATTTGGTATGTTGGTGCTATCAACTGCACGGATCTCCACATGGGACATCACTTTGTGTGATACACAAATCGTTGTTCTGAGTCTGGGTTGGGTTCGGGGAGTTGTTAAAAAAAGTAATGTGATCATTGGTGATCTAAGGTTTGGAGGTTGAAAGTAGGCTGATGATGAAGCCAGTAGGGGGATAGGTAGTGTAATTTTTTCAAACTTCTTAATTCAGTTCACTATTAAAACATTATTTGTGAGGTTTTCCTAAACTATAATTAAATACATTTTTCAGCAACCAAACACTAAATCTACGAACCAATTTATTTAATTAATAACTTTATGATCTGGTGATAGACGTAGATTCTAAATCCTTACCTCTAGGCAGATTATGTAATTACTTTAAGATCTCGTCTGGATCTTATTCTCCCTATACTCTTTCTATCTGCTCTTGGGTCTATCTCATCCTATACACCTATTGAAAAGCATCCTATAGTGCGAAATTCCACAAATTTTATCCAAGTTAAAAAAAGGTAAGGTTCAAAATTCTGTTTTTTTTTCATGTTCGTTACTGCAAAACTCCATCATTTATTTATTTTGAAAAATTCTTTTCCTTGCTTAGAAGGGTATACTTCCCCCTTTTTTTTGTTTTTTTCTTACCGTGCGGAAATAGCCGGGGAACCAGGTATCTCTAGAAAGGAAGTCCCTGGTGCCCCGACATACCTCGGGCCATCTACAACAAGTAGACCCCCCCCCCCCGTGTGGGAACCCCATGTTCCCTCTGCTCCCTGAAAAGGAGCGCGCTTCGCAACGCGCTCGCCGCCACCCCGGCCTGCTTCTGCTAGGGTGACACATGGCCTCACATGTCACCCCCAGGCCTGCCCTTATGGAGGACGGAGGCGGCGCCTGCGGTACCTGGCCCGTTCCCGGGCCTGGCGGGCCGGGAGAGATCTAAACCTCTCCCGGTCCCGCTCCGCCGTCTCCTTCGCGAGCATAACTTGCTCGCAGAAGGAGACGGCAGAGTTCCACGCACTCTCGCTCCGCACGATAGCAGCAATCAGGCTATCGAGCGAGAGAGCTCCCACTCCGATAAAGGGTATACTTCCCCTAAGGTTGGAAAATTTAGTTTATCACAGTTCATCATAACTAGCTTACATTAGTTTTTTAGCCGCCAGAAGATTAAGTTATTTTGAGTGTATTTATGTTATTATGTTACTGTAAAAGTCTGTACTGTGGTGAATCTTAGGTTTACAAAGACAGAAGCTGGTAAATGTAAGTATTAATAAAAAGAGGAACAGTTTTTCGAACTTATATACTTATTGTAAATGTTGGTTTTGGAAAGAAAACAATAAGTACTTTAAAGTTAATTTTGGGTTTATCATCGTCATCAACAGCCTGTACTAGTCCACTGCTGGACATAGGTCTCTCCTTAGAAAGGAGGTTTTGGCCTACTATACCATGCTGGCCAGACGGGTTGGTATAGGGTTTGGGGTGCTGGCTAGAAAACCTCCTCGTGGTGCACCCTGGAAACGCTGGCGATGGTACTGTTTCCTCCTTGTCCTCTTGGAGGAGAGGATTATCGCCAGCGGCCAATATTCTAGCAGAAGAGGTAGCCGTTCATCGGCTCTCGGGCAAGGCCTGGTCCAGCAGGGTGGGCGTGTCTGCCGGTTGCCCTGCTGGCTCTTCGCTCTTCGGAGCATGGAGGAGGAAACCTCGGTAAAAAAACCTGATGGCGGGGCCCTGTAGGGGCCACAGTTTCTCCGCTGATAGCGGTGGAGAAAGGAGGACGGGCTCGGCGTGTACTGACACTACCACCGAGCAGGCAGGGGGACGTAGTCTCCCTGTCAACCGTCGGCATATCGCAATCCCGAGAAGAGCGCTGTGGTTAAGTCTCGCGGCTCTGATCGGGGGCGAGGGTCTTGGCTTAACCGCCCGGACCGCGAGGAAGATAACCTCTCTAAAAAATTCCCCGAATCCCGTGTTCTGGTGCGTGGCCAGGGGATGCATGGCTGATGGGAAGTTCAGTCGCGAGCGCACTCCAAGCCGAGGTACCTGCGGACCCCTCGGTTGGGTTAAAAACTTACGCTTGCCCGGGTAATGGGGGATCTCTGCCCGGGTGGACCTTTAGTTCTCCCCCACTCGTGGGATTTATTATGGAGCATATCAACAAAAATATAAAGAAACGGCAACCAACACAAAACAAACAGAAACAGGCAAGCAAAACGGACTCTGAAATGCAAGAGAAGAGGAACAGTGGAGTGGATGGGTCATCCACGGAGGGTGAGATAGCGTCGGGAACGCCTATCTCGGTGGGGCTCCCAGAAGTCAGTCTGACGCTGGTCTCTGGGAGCCGAAGAGCATCGGATCGGCTGCGTTCCGGATCCGCCGTCTCCTCGGATGGCGCGGAGGCCATGGAAGCGGAGCGGAGCGACAGCCGGAAACGCGGACGCTCCCGGGAAGAGGGGACCGACACGTCCGGCGAAATGATGCCACCAAAGGTGGCAAGCAGCCGCCGAGGGAGGGCACGTAAACCGGCCTCGGTCTCGACCCCGTCAGGCTCCGCGTTCTCAAACGCGGAGTCCTACAGGAGCGTACGAGTGGACGGCGAGGCCGTAGCGGAGGAGGAGATCGCGGATCTCCTGCTCAAGGTTCGGGAGCCGGTGGGGGGAAATGCCCCCCAGGCTCCCGTGTCCGTGCAGGAGAGGGCGAAAGCGGCGGTGGCCGTCATCGACAAGGTGGCCACCAAATCCGTGAACCTTAAGGGCTCGTTTGTGAGGGCCCTTAAGGACTCCTCCTCCGCTTTGTCGGAGGTCGTGGAGGGCCTAGTGGGCGACGTATCGCGCCTACAGGTGGCCAACGAAAAGCTGACGGAGCGGGTGAACGAGCTGAGCGCTCAGTTCGCCCGCTTCCAGGCGAACCTCCCCGAGCGGGAAGCCCCGTCCGCGTCCCAGCCTGCCCCTACCACCAACTCAGGGGCATTTGACTCCCAACTGCGAGAAATCCTCATCGCAGTTGGGAATATGCTGGACGGACGCCTGGCTGGCCTGGAGGCGAGACTGCCCCCTGCGCCGATTATGCGCCCCCCGCTCGCGTCGGCACAGCGGCCTAAGGCCGCCGCTCCGACCGCGCTCCCCGTGGTGGGAGGCCGCGTTTCCTACGCGGCGGCGGCGTCTGCCCCTACTCCATCGGCTCCCCAAAAGCCGAGGAGGGGGGCCAAGGCACCGGCCCAGGCGCCGGCCAAGGCACCGGCCCAGGCGCCGGCCAAGGCCGTCTTCAAAAAGGCCCGGGACAGCCTCGCCAACGATTTTGGGACGGTGGGGGTCAGGATGCGCCTCGCCCAGACGGGAGCTCGAATTCTCGAGTTCCCTGGGGCTGAAGGCGCAAAGACGGCGGACTCGTTTGCTGAGAGGCTGCGGGGTATATTCGCGACTACAGATGGTGTGAGGGTCGCCAGGCCTACCAAGTGCGCGGAGCTGCGCATCTCGGGCCTGGACGACTCTGTGACGGCCGAAGATGTCCGCGCTGTAATCCGGGAGAAGACGGGGTGCAGCGCGGACAACGTCAGGGTCGGCACCATCCGCCCCGGTCCAGGGGGGCTTGGCGCCGTGTGGGTCAGCTGTCCCGTAGCGTCGGCCAAAGTATTGGCCGACGCCGGCAGGCTGCTCATCGGTTTCGTGAGCGCTAGGATCACAGTCCTGGCGGCGAGACCGATGAGGTGTTACAAATGCCTAGCATCGGGGCACACGCGCGTCAAGTGCCAAAGCTGCTTCGACTGCAGCGGACTATGTTTCCGCTGTGGTCGACCGGGGCATGTGGCGGTGGAATGCTCTGCCGCCCCTCACTGCCCGGTGTGTGCGGCGGGTAACAAGCCCGCCAATCATCAGATGGGGCAGGGGGGCTGCAAGCCTCCCCGCAACTCTCAGCAAGCATCGGGGGCTAGCCAGTCGACCCAGGCTGCCTCCGATGTAGTTCGTGCGTCGACGTCGTCGCCCATGGAGGAGGCTGTAGAGACGATCCAGTAATGGATCGGGTCTCCAGCCTCCTGGTCCAGACGAACCTGAACCACTGTGCCGCGGCGCAGGATCTCTTCCTGCAAACCATGGCACAGTGGTCGATAGGTGTTGCCGTAGTCGCGGAGCCCTATTCTGTCCCTCCCCGTCCAAACTGGATGGGTGACTGGGACGGCTCCGTGGCAGTCGTCGGTTCCACGACGGCTCATTCCCCGCCCTTGTCGCTAAGAGACAAGGGCACTGGATATGTTGCCGTCGAGTGGGGGGGGATCACCATATATGGTGTCTATTTCTCCCCCAACCGGAGTTTGAACGACTTCGAGGTTTTCCTAACCAGCTTGGAGACCTCGATACGGCGACTAGCGTCTGGGCACGTCCTTGTGCTGGGGGACTTCAACGCAAAGTCCATTGCGTGGGGTTCCCCCAGGACGGACGCAAGGGGCAAGGCCGTAGAGGAGTGGGCGGCCTCGGTGGGCCTCTGTCTCCTCAACAGAGGCTCCACCAACACGTGCGTGCGACAGCAGGGGGGGTCGATAGTGGACCTTTCGTTCGCTACCCCTGCCCTCGCCGCACGAGTAAGGAACTGGCGTGTCCTGGAAGAGGTTGAGACGCT